CACTACATGCTGCTTAAAAAACACATTCAAGCAGGTTGGGCACATTACAAATTTTGACATTTCTGTTATGTATTATTTGTTTCATATAGTTTTTTGATTAACAATGACAGTCACCTCAAAATTTTATTCCCTGACAAGGATGTAGAATGAACACTTTTCTGTGATGTTCAATTACTGAACTTTCTATTGGCTTATGGGCAAAAGTAGCATACTGTGTTTTTCAACTCTGTATCCACTAGATTTATGGCTCATGAGCCCTTAAAACATAGCTGGCTCAATTCTTTCATCTCATCTTCTGTAATTATCCATCTTGCACATGAGTCAACCTGGCTGTCATCTTCTACTGCATATTATCAAAGACTGATGTTCCACTGACAAGTTTCATTATCTCTTTTTTGAAAGAAAAGAAGGACTTCGGTGAGTTCAACAAATCTGCGAAAGCTAGGCAAACCCCGTCACTGGTCATGAATCAGTCATGGCTGACTGCTCACCTTTGAATCAAGTGCCTACTCTTGGCCCAAGTGACTGTTTCTGGGAACCTGGGTGATACACGGTTCTACCCATTTTACATGAGTATTGATGGACAGGACATGTGAATATCAGTGGAAAATAAGGGAAGGCTCTTTTGTCTACAAATAAGTGCCTGGAGTAGTGAAAGCTTTCAACATTTATTGAAAAACAATGAGAGAATTAAGGAAATTATCTCATTATATGAAATCAACATAGAGTTTGTCTAAATTTTTATCTCATTCACTTTCCAATAATGACCTAGTAGTTCACTAATTGTACTAAAATTGCAGTTATCTACTGAAAATTTATAACTATATCAGTCTATTATGTATAAATAAAATGTGATCAACCAATATAGAAAATGCATAAACTTCAAGGATTCTTCATATAGTCATAAGAAATAATCATAATTGCCTTGTATAATGAGCACTTTTTTGCCCAATTTTTGAAGGAAAAACAAGGATGTGCATTATATATGGGTATAATGATTACATGCCATTATAATAATGGGTACCCTGAGTATAATGTGCACAAAAACATGGGTGAGCATTATACATGGTAAAATACAATACTTTACAATTTGTCAGTCCAGTGGCATGATTTTATAGAATCACACCACTTTGATATGGAATGTTTCTCCACATCTTTGCAATGTGGGTGTTTCTCCACCTTCCACTCCTCCCCTCATGAAAGACACAGTGACTTAGGAGTTACAACTTCAACAGTTTAGAGAAGTTTTTTCAGGAAGTGAAAGAACACAATGAATATTCAATATTTTCATATGATTATAGTGAACAATACAACATTTTGTCCAAACTGGGTGCTAATCTTCTGATGCTCTCATTTATCAGGGTAATGTGATATCCATATCATATGAATTCAAAGTAGGAACACAATAAATGGTAGCTCTTAAAAGAAGGCCAACATTTCAAGGGGTCCTGATACTACGTTATTCTTCTGCAAATTAGACTTGCTCCTATGGGTAAACTGAAACAAAAAGGAAGAGAATATTGATCCTGACCAAAGGATGGTAGTTAATCCTTAGCAAGGATTATGACCAAAAAAAAAAATGCAAATAGTAAATGGAGTAACAAGTCAAGAACTGTTCTTGTACTTTTCATTATGTCTTATACAATGGATCACATAAAACATGAAGCAGTGGGAATTACTAATATGGAAAAGTGGTACAGGAACTTAAAAGAAAGGAAAATATAATACATAATTCATATGACAAAACATAACATTTTAATTAACTAGATACAAAGGAAACCTTATAAAACACTACAGACATTGATGGATTACTTTCCATAATTACAAAGGGAAGTGGTCCTTCTGGATTATTTCAGTGCAGAGCACTTGGAAGCAACAAAGAAATTTCTGTCCAGTGGTAAATGTCTAAATGGCACATTATATTGCTTTGAGTGAAAAATAAATACAGGAGCGGTATAAATCCATACATTATCTGATATTTTTACCACTTGGGCTAATTGAATGCCTGCAGTAAAACTTAGATACTATTCTTTATGTTTAAAACAAGAAAAAGATCCCTGGCTGGCATAGCTCAGTGGATTGAGCACAGGCTACGAACCAAAGCATCGCAGGTTCGATTCCCAGTCAGGGCACATTCCTGGGTTGCGGGCCATGGCCCCCAGCAACAGCACATTGATGTTTCTCTCTCTGTCTTTCTCCCTCCCTTCCCTCTTTAAGAATAAATAAATAAAATCTTTAAAAAAAGAATGGAATCTCTCAATTCCCTCACCAAAGCTTAAAAAAAAAAAGAATTATAAGGTCATGTAACAACTTATTTTTAAATGATAATTTCTGAAATATTTGCTCTCCCTACTTTTTACAGATTTGCTATCTGTAAAACTACTGTAATACATTCTATAATATGTAAAGAAAGTAATAAAACAGCAACTGTAACTCAGATGATCAGGTAAGTGCCACTTACACTCTTAAAATGTGATTTATATTTGACAGGATTTTTCTTTAGTTCACATTGGATTTTTCAACACAGTAGTAATATTTTGGTAAAATAGATTCTCCATCTTCTTATAATTTGACAAAGTATCCCACAATTTTCTGTTTGATGCTTATTTTTTTCACATATGTATATATATTTAATTGTACCAGTCACAACTGGTACTCTGTGATACAGGAAAATCTCATTTTGTCCTATTAAATTTCCATTTTATTCTTTCCCATAACCACCTTCATCTAACACCATTTTAAGCAACCCATTCACAACTCCTCTCATTGCAGACTTTTTATTCTCTTCTCAGAACTATTAACTACACTGTTTCCCTAAGGAAGAGGCAGTGTCTTTCAACAGGAAGCCATACTCCCTAATTTTTTTGATGTGGGAGTTTGGTGACTTCATTTATTTAAGTTTCTCCTAAGTCAAAATGATCAGCTTCCCAATAAGGACTCTAGATTTTATATGCAAATGTGATACTACTGACCAGAGGCCTAAAAATTCAAATAATAGCTAGCATGTATTAAGGAATTACTATTTGCTAAGGCTCCCTGAAAAGCATTACACATGTATTTTCTCATTTAATCTTCAAAATCACTCTTTCAAATAAATGTTATTTTTCTGCCTGCTTTTGTTTTTTAAATGGACAAACTGAGATTATGACAGATTGAGTTATTCATCCCAGATCACAGAGTAGATAAGCAGTGAAGCTAGACTGGATGTGAGGCAATCATAAGTGGGCATGGTCACCGACAATACGTGTTCAGATAGATGTGGCAAAAAGTTCCCTCTGCTATCCCAAGTATAACACCAAATATGCTGCTGTTTAAATCTGAATTCCTAAGCAATCGGATACTATAGAAGTATCTCATATCAAAGTGAAAATGCCCTAAGAAACTGCCTCTCATTAGTCTTATCATATCAGGACCTTCCCAGCTGGTCTGAAGAAAGCAAGTTTTAACAGCCAGCAGAATAGAGTCAGAATCAGGGTATCTCCTTAGAAGAAGAAATCTAGGTTGAAATCTAAGTTGTTGACTATGTTGGAAAAGTGTAGTCAAAGTAAAAAGCTTCAAAAGCTTCAAGAACTTCAAGACAGAGTAGAGAGACCCAGAGAAACCATGTTCCTCACAGGCTGTGTATAAACATGTAGAACATGGGAAGACAGGAGAGATGTTCCCTGTTTTTAAGCTAATGATTTATTTAATTCTTTTCATAAGAGACATCAAATAATATTAATAAAAATAAAAAACTATAAGATAGGGAATAATCTGTGCTTTAATATTTATGCAGTCCTTATTGAAGGTAGCAGTTAAAATTAAATTTTAAAATTACTGGTTTTGGAATGAAGCAAATGGATAATTTCCCTTTCAGACATTGGTGGAAATTATCTAATTCAACATAAATTACAAAATACAGTCTAAATACAATTTTTATCCACTGTGAATCATTTTTACATTGTTTTAGTATGGGGCCCAACTAAAGGACAAAGGGAACACTTGGAGACATCTCTGATGGCAGCATACACAGATGTCACCACAAGTGTAGTGCACACCCAATGCCAGAAACACCTTCACAGGCATAAAACTGTGTTTACCATGTTAGATTGTTTTTGCCGTTTTACATTTCTATTACCACACAGCTTTGATGGGGTGATAGCAGATTGTTGGTGAAGCGAAGAATGGATGATCTTCACATAATTAATTATGGTACTATGGGCAAGTCAGTCCTCGCCTCTCAGTTTTCTCTTTTCTAAAATGAAGGAGGTAGACTGACCCCTAAGCCAAGCCTACAATGCTATGGAGATGCCCAAGGCAGAAAGCAATGTCACACCAAAAAAGCTCTCCACTTAATAAAAAGGATTAATCTCTGAACTAGTTCTCTGGGAAGACTACTCATATCTAGGAGAGGGCCTGGGTTAATACCAAAAGTCAGCTCACTACATGACAAATTTCATTATTTTGGCCAAATAAGGAGGTAAATAAAGCAAGTGATAAGTACCATATTGGGAAAGATGAAAGGAGATGAAGAAAAGTGCAGAGAAGGAATAGGAATAATCAGAAAGAGAAAAGTTGATTCACATCACTCTAGCATTATCCATAATAGCGTATACCTCAAAATATTAGTTGCATATCAAATAAAATAAAAGTCATTTTCTGGGTGACATGCTCAATCTAAAAGTTTAAGACAAACTGTAGTTCATTCCATGTAACTAAGTTGTCAAGCTGAAATGACAAAACAGCTAACCTGCTCTAGGTCCAGCAGCCTGGCTGGCTGTTGACTAATGCTAGCTAGCAAGGCTGCCCCGCTGCGCTCCATCAGAGCCACGATTTCAACAGTGTCGGTGTTCAATACTTAAACCTTGATACATGGAGAGATCATGGGCGCCAACTCTGTTCTTGCCGTTTTCCATTGTCACAAATGTACTTCCCATTTTAACTGAAAACTGGTCTTTTAAAATTTATATATTAACGCATACACTAACCCAGAGAAGCAACTGAAGCCCAAACTATATTACCTGAAAAATGCTAGGAAGCTATGAGAAAATCCATTCAACAGATTCATAAAATTTTACTCAGGTCTTCTTTGTGCAGTTCTCACTGTGAACATCTCCACTTATCTTGATACCAAACTAAAGGCATTTTTGGAAAAAAATCAAAACAACACTTTTTATAATATAAAGTTCACAAATGCATTTAAAATACTTCAAAAAGAACACACTACAAAAGCCCTGATGTCTATTTGACCTGTAAACTCGTTTATGTGTTCAAACAAGTTGACCGTTTTTCCTTTTAACAAATTAGCAGGTGAAGTGGTCCCACATTAGCCAGATAAGCAGGTCACGATCCATCCTAGCAATTTCCCAGGTTTGATTGTGTAAGGCAGAGCAGGTAAACGGTGGATGCTACGAACAGGGCATGGCAAACACGGTTTTGCTGTAACATGTGGACATAATTTTTAGAATTACACGTAACTTTAAAACACCTGCACATCTTTAACATGTTCCAAGGTGATTTTAGAAACTGGAGGACTCTCTCCCGGGTGCTCTGTAAAGTTCCAGTTACAGGAAAGCTGGAGAAACTGGCCAGCACACAGATTGCGCTCCCGCCGGGCCACGTCCAAATTTCCAGCAAAGAAGCTGGACTGCCAGATGGACTAACAGGCAGAGATGGGGGAAAGTGGGCAGCCCTGGTCCCCTCACTGGACCGCATGGTCCTCCTGCGCAGAGCCCCTGAGACTCGAGGGCTGCCTCCCACTCAAGTGCTCTGAACACGCGCCCACCCACCTGGGGGCGCTGGGTCGCTGGGGGGCCGCTGCCGGCCCCCTCCCGCTCTTCCCGGGGCAGCAGGCAGCATCGCGTCGCTGAAGCCAAGGCGCCTGCAGACAGGTGCCGCAGAGCTCCCGACTCTCCGGACTTGATGTTCTTGCGCAGGCGGTCTCTCGGGCCTCGCCCCCCGAGCTCTGAGCCTCGCTCCGAGCCTCGGGAAGCTGGGGCCGAGCTCCCGGGAAACGCAGCTCCGGCACTCAGGCCGCAGGACCGGACTCAGCTTTGCAAGGCACCCGAAGGAAGTGAAACTGCTCTGGGGCTTGCTCTTGCATCCTTTTTTTTGACTGGTTTGGTTTCTAACGCTCTATGGTCCTGTTCCCTCCTCACCTTTTCACCTAGGGTAGTTTCAGAGCTGTGTTGCCTGTTACTGCAGCTTCTCTGTCCCATTCCAGGTCTTCCACCGTGCCCCATTCAGGGCAGAAATAGGGATATCAGAAGGAGACATAGGCTGGAAAAAGGGAGTAATAGGTATGAATATAAAAAAATAGATGCATGAATATAAAAATAAAGATATAAAGATGTAAATGAGATATATACTAGTTTTCTAAATAGTTCATTTGGCCCAGACTTTCTAGATTAGATTCATACATTGTAAAGTCAAAACTGGGCCCAGCACAAAATTAGATACGGATCTCAATAGGTCCTCTAAAGGAGAGTGTCCTTTGTTGCTTTGTTTTCTTTACAGACAGGAAAAATTCATAGCTGCCCCAAATCCTTAAAATAAATTTCCCTTCTTCTTTCAAAGTTCTCTACATTACTTTATGAAGTTAAAAGAAATGTTGAAGACCAATGAGAAGATTTGGCAATAATCCGTAGCTAAATGGCTCTGACTCCCTTTTGAGAACAGAAACCTGAAAGGAAGGCTTGTGTTGTGTAGCAACTGTTTACCTCATACAGTCTTTTTTAGAAATACCTGAAATATCAAGTATCAAAATGTTCATTTTTCACATAACTGGACTTTTAAAAAATATTTATTTTATCCTTACCTATGGATATTATTTTCATTGCTTTTAGAGAGAAAGTGGAGGGAGAGAGAAACATAGATTGGTTGCCTACCATACCTGCCCAGACCCGGGAAAGAACCAGCAACCTAGGTGTGTGCCGTGCCTGTGAATCAAACTTGCAGCCTTTCAGTCATGCTCCCACCAACTGAGATACACCAGCTAGGGCTGAACTTGTTTTCATCCCTTCTAATAGAACGAAGAAAACTTGGAAAATATGTTAAATGTCAGCAAATTTTGAACACTATTACATACTTACGTGTTTTCCAGAACGTCCCCTAAACTCATAATTGGTTTTAAGTTGATCTCTATATTTGAGATAATGAAGAAATTTTATCTAATTTAAGAAATAATATATTGACAAGTTTATTGTCTTCTGTGAATACCTCTTTACTAAGACACTTAAGTAAAATAAGGTAAAGACGGAGGGTTTATATTGCAGTGTACATAAAAACTCTGGGTCAATATTTTTGGAAACCCAGTTCTCAAGACAGCATTATGTATTTTTAAACCAGCTAAACCTACTGGAGAAACAATGTCAGTATTTTTTTAATTTAATCTTTATTGTATTTTTTCCGTAACCATTTAGTTCCTTTATGCCCGTCTCTCCCAGCAATCACCACACTGCTATCCATGTCCATGAGTCCTTTTTCCTTTTTGCTCAATCCTCCCGTCCCCTAACATCCCGTACACTAGCTCTCATCTACTCTCCATCTATGAGTCTGTCTCTGTTTTGCTTGTTAGTTCAGTTTGTTCATTGACACATTGGATTCTACTTGGCCATAAAAAAAGAAGAAAATTTTACCCTTTGCAACTGTATGGATGGACCTGGTGAACATTATGCTAAGTGAAATAAGCTAATCAGAGAAAGACAAATACCATATGATTTCATTCATATGTGGAATCTAATGAACAAACAATGTCTTACTTGATGCAGTGTCTTAAATGATACTTTGACCAATATTTTGTGAAGGAAGGAAGAGACATAAATACTCCAACTTATGCTCCCCAGTTAAGCATCCAAATAAATCTTCAAAGGCATCCATCTGAGTTAGTTCTGTGGAAATACATAGTGCTCTTATTTACCATGCACACAAAACATAATAAAGATAGTCTTCTTCGGATGGCAAATTATAACAGAAAACTATCCTTATTAACTATTTTTTGTGTGCATTGAGCTCCCTTCCTGGATGAGGAGGCCGGGACTGGGAGTCAGAAGGCTGAGGGCACCATGTCGACTCTCCATCTTTCAATCTGGGCAACTAGGGAATAAATATTTCTATACTCTCAGCTAAATGAGGAAATTAGAATAATTATATTGAAGTCTTTGCCAGCTATATAACTTTATTACCCTATTTCCTATAATACACACAGAAAAAAAAACATTGACAATACATAGGACAATTAAGTATATTTCCAGATGCTCACCTTCACTATTTACATCAGCATGATAATGGTAAATGGAAAAATGAAAGCAAAAATGTGTTTAAAATTTTGGGCTGTTTTTTAAACTATTTTATTTAACAAGGCTTTATATTAGAAAATTTTTTAAAATCTTTCATTGAAGTCCAAAAATTAGCTCTATATTTGTTTCAGGTACTGCCTGAGAACATAATTCTTGTTCAGAATTTATGAAGTAATGTTTTAACTCATTTACTTATTTATGCTTTTGTTTCATTACTTAGTGCTAGTAACAGCTACTCTGTGTTTTTTTTAAGTATTCAACGTGCCAAGCACTATGTAAGTGTTTCACAATGTTCAAGTAATCTGGTTTTTTAAAAAAATATGGTTTTAATCATATTTTACAAATGAGGAATCTGGGTTTTAAAAGTTCTAAGTGACAGAGCTGGAATTCAATCTTCAGTTTGACTCTGTAGCCTGCCCTCTTAACAATCCTCCATTCCTTTCAAGGTCACACAAAGTCATTGTTAAATATTTCATAGACGTCATCGGCAATGTTATACCTACACACATATTAAAATTGCTTTTGTTTTTCCACGCACTTTCCCATAGAACAATAATCTCATAGAAATGAACATCCACATCCTTTAAAATAGACATGAACTGAAGTCATAATTCATTACAATGTTGGCGCCACTTGGCTGAGGATATGTAGGCACTGTTTTCACAAAAAAGGAAAACGTGTGGTGATCCCATACACACAGAGGTGGTGACTTCAGTCTTCCATGTTTTCTAACTTTGCCCGTGCATTTATGAAAAGATATTTTAGACATATTTTCACTCATTTCAGTCTTTTTCTCAGTATCAATTTCATCTTTAGTCACAAGTGACTTTATTTTTTCCCCAGCTTTCTCCCTTAAAGAAATGATACTGTCTGAAATGTCAGGTTATCTCTTGGTTCTTGTGCTTAGGGAGGAGGCCTTTCGTAATTCTCACACTGAGATGCTTTTCAGCCAGAAGGCCACCAACAGTGTGCAATTGCAGGTTTCTGGTTTTACCTGTGTTACAGAGGGACCAAAATGCTAGCCCCAGTTGGTTCCTTGTTTCTCAATATATCAAACTCTTGGATCCATTGACTTTTTCCCTTGCATTCTTTTTTTCTAGCAGCATATTGATGACCTCAATATTATTTTGCACTTTGTGGAGATTATAAGAGCCTCATGCTGAGTCTTTGTCCCAGTGAGTGGAAGGCTAAGGCTGCTCACTGTGCTCCTGCTGCAGCTGGCAGGGCCAGTTCCTTGGGCCTTATGTGGACTGGATTATTTTGCTAATGCTGTTGGCTTTATTTCCTAAATAAAGCATCCATCTATTCTACAAGTGAAATTGTATTTTGCTTCTTCAAAGCTATCTATTAGTGGAGAATTTTCCTCTTGAAAAACATGTCCAGATCTTTAGACACTGAATTATATTATTTTCAAAGGTTGTTATTATGCTTTTTATTTGCTAGCTCAAAACTATAACAATTACTGGAAAGGTCTGAAGGAATTTCCTAGCAATAGTATTTTTTGTTGTTATGAGAGGCTATCTTCATTTTCTTATCCCTTCTCACATTTAGCTGAATTCTTCAATACTAATCTGCATAAAGGTGGTCCTGTCACTATATTCACATCATGATCCCCAGAACCTGTGTGTTTACTACCTTACATGGAAGGTGGAATTAAGTTAAGGATGCTGAGATGAGAAGATTAATTAAAATTATCTAGGTGGGTAATCACAATGGTACTTATAAGAGGCGGGAAGATCAGAGAAGAGACATGATGAGGAAACAGAGATTAGAGCAAAGTGCTTGTAATGTGGAGAGAGGGCTACCATCCAAGGAGGCCTCTAGAAGCTGGAAAGGTGAGGAAACAGATTCCCCTGCAGAGCCTCCAGAAAGAACCAGCCATGAGGGAACCTTGATTTTTAGCCCAGTGAGACTGATTTTGAACTTCTGACTTCCAGAACTGTAAGACAATAACATTGTGTTGTTTTAGACCACTGAGATTGTGTTTATGTACTACAGCAACAATAAGAAACTAACACGTAAATATAGGGTGATAAATAGGGAAATTCATTAATGAAATTCTTTTACATTCTTCTAAATAAACATATATGAAAGAATATTCAATTCTTTGTAGCATTAATTTCTAAGTCTCTATGGAGCAGTATTTCACAATTAATTGGTGGCTATTGTAGCTTTTTGATGCTCCTTCCTGCAGTGCTGTCAGCACTACCTACTTGCCTCCATTCTTTAGTGGCTGTGGAGAAGTGCTGAGTCTTCTCTTTTCTGTTTGATTTAGGATGACTTGTTGAACTAACCAAGTTTTCTGCTTATATTGCAGCTGACATCACTCCCTCTATACTCTGGCCTGTGCTAACAAGTGAAAAGGAGTTTGTTCCGTAAATCTGAGTTTTAACAACCAATATTATAAAATGTTTGAATGTCAAGAACCCCAAAGTCCTCCATTTCTCTTTTTGATTGTTTTGAATTTCTTTATAAACTCTGGTAATTTGCTTCTATTTTTATCTTATAATTATTGATTTTATTAAGATTTCAGCTGCACTCCCTACCTCACATATAATTGAGTTTTTCTTAGGACTTAATTCACCACAGGTCTCTCAATAGCTGAACCTGTTGGCTTCACTCCACTACAGGATTGATAAAAGGAAACATTTCTCTTCATGTTGTCATTATCCATTTTTAATTCATATAATAAGAGTTTAGTAAGTACCTACCATATATAAAACAAAGTGCTGGGCACTGGACATGCAGTGATGAAAAGACACAGTCCTGGCTTCCAAATAGTCTGCCTTCTGGACATC